ACCGAGAGCAAGTTATCTACTACTTCGACCGATGTCTGCTCTTTCATTGGAACGGCTTCTGGGAACTTGCTGGCTGGGCATAATATCGTTAGAAGGTACCTAAAACCCGTCTTAGTTGTAGGTAGGGGTCCTACGACGTCTATCACTAGCCTTTTGAAAGGTTCCGTGATTATGGGCACTAGTGTCAGAGGCGCCTTTCGGCGCTCGTTTGGTCGTCCTGTTCTTTGGCAGGTGTCGCAAGAACGGACGAATTGCTCAGCCTCCTTAAAGCAGCCCGGCCAATAATATTCTGCCAAAAGCCTGCACTTGGTCTTTGTGATTCCTAGGTGTCCCGACCACCCTTCTCCGTGAGCAAGCTCGAGTAATGCAATTCTATACTTGGATGGAACGACAATCTGATCTACCTCGTTCCCCGATTTGTCCTTGAAACTACGGTAAAGAATGCCGTTGCTCATAAAGAAGGAGATGTTCGGCTTGATATCTTTTCCCACGCTATCACGACACTTTGAAAGACTCGGGTCGGATGACTGTTCGGCGATAAGCGTAAGCTTATCTACACCGGCTAGCGCACGAAAATTGCTGCTCTCCGGCGAAACCAGCGTGGTCATGTCAGCTCCTTCGTTCGGCTCTTTATCGGGCCCGCTGCTGGTTTTACCAGTCGACGCGCTCGCTTCCGTCTGAAGTGTTTCCGGCACTGCACTAGTTGTCATTGAGCGCGTGACGACTAGAACAGGATTCATGTCAAGCGGTATACCCGACTCGCTCAATTGCCTTGCAGTTCTGTTTGACAGTATGTACGGACAGTTTGGAAGCACTCCGTCAGAAACAGCTGCTTCCGTTTCCACTACTCCGAAAGGTCCGTTTAGTTTTACCTTAGCTACGGGCAGACTAACTGCCCGATTTTCCAAGGCCTGACGGATCCACACACAGTCGCCTGTAAAATGTTCTTGCTCCACTAGCGAAGAGTGTACCAGATCATACGTGGCGCCGGTATCTCGTAAACCTTTGCAGAATTTACCATTTACTTTCATGTCGTACAGATACGGCCTGAGTAAGTCCTCCGCTTCTCCCAGACACAAGTTAACGGGAGCAACTTTAGGGACGCGGCAACCAGAAGCGACATGACCAGGCTGTTTACACCTGTAGCACACTATTGGTTTACGCTCCTCGAACGCCTTCATTTTACGTTTCTTTTCGTCTAAATCAGACACTCCCTTTGTCGGTACTTCACTCTCTTTGCCCTTTTCGGCGCCTTTCTTCACGAACGTGCGAGGTCCGCATCGTTCGTAGAAACGGTTTGAGCTACGGTTTTCTTCAACAACTTTCTTCCCGTGCCTAGAGCAGTACTCATCCGCGTAATCTGCAGCTTTTTGCACCGTTTCTACTTCCGGTCTATCCTGAATCCACTCCTTTAGACCTGTCGGAATACAGGAGAGAAACTGCTCTAGTGCTATCTGCTCCAGCACCTTTTCACGATCCTCGTAAGAGTTGACACCACGGAGCCAACTTTCCAGAAAGCCTTTAAGCTTATAAGCGAACTCCGCGTAACTTTCGTTCGGTCCTTTCCTTGTCTCTCGTAATTTCTGTCGAAAAGCTTCAGGCGACAACCTGAACTTCCTAAGCAGGCATGACTTTACGGACGCGTAGTCATCGGCTGCTGTAGGATCTAGTCGGGCCAAAACGTCGGCCACCTCCGCTGGCAGTAAACTCAAGAGCCTTTGAGGCCAGCTCGACTCTACAAGACCCATCTTAACGCAAACCCGTTCGAAATTTACTAAATAGAGACCCATGTCTCCGCCGACGCGAAAAGGTTGCAAAAGGGCTCGCATGTCAAACTTTTTCGAGCTGTTATCCACCACAATGGCCTCACCAGCGTCAAAGTTACGTTGAAGCATTTCTAGCTCAAGTTTTTCTCGAGCAACGCGAAGCCCTTCTTGAGCCGCGTGAAGTTCCGCTTCCCTTAGTCTCTTCTGCACCTCGCTCCAACACTCGGAAATTTCGTCGGCGCCCGCGCCACAATCTTCAATGGCCTTGATAATCTCGGGCTTTCTCATGGCCTTGACCACTTTAACACCCAGCTCTTCCGCTAAGAGCATTAAATCGGGCTTCACAATCGCCGCGAGATTTATCGGATCCATGTTCAGAAATTTCCAAAAAAGTTTGGCTACTTTTGCCCAGCGCCCGTATCAACCGTTTGGCGACACCACAGAACTAACTGCCTTAAACACTTAAGCTGCTCGGTGAACGGAAAGGAAGCCTCAGGCACTCACCGACAGCACCCATGGAACCCGGCGTCGTCGATCCATCCCACCGCTGCCACCAGCTGTTACGTTTCTCCGGGAGAATCGACGAATCCGGAGACCGACGTTTATTTGGCAGCGTTTATTGTTCGGCAGCCGGAACCAAAAGAGCACAAAGCTTGCCGGCGATGCCGCTTATATCGGCAGCAAGCACCAGAGGTACGCCCCCCTGACTCAGCAGTTCTGCTGCGGCCGCGACAGCGATAAGCGATAACATCGCAAATTCTACTGACGAACTTTTTGGCAGCACGAAAACATGGCAATTGTAATGACGTTCATTCAAGCTGGCTTGCTGGTGCAGGGGTACAGCATCAGACGACGAAGCAAGGCCAGGGGTTCGGTTCCTGGCGATCCTGGCGAGCCACGAAGTTATTTTTTTGTTCAAGTCACGTGACCTGGCCGTATTACAGTGTTTTTGTAACAACTTTTTATGGTGCTCTAGAATTGGGAATCATCCCTCAAACACTTCCTGCACTAATAAAAAATAAACATAATGAGCCAGAAAATGTTTCTATTATAATTTTTTTTTAATTTTCTAGTAGAAATTTTGTTTTCTTTTGTTTTTCGTAAAGGTTTTTCACTTATGCTGAAGTATCTGGGGTTCCAAATGATGGCACTGCCAGTCCAAAAGATGACAGCTGAATGTGGCTCTACACAGCATGCAATCTGAGCATAGACAACTGAAGTGCATACTTGTGATGAAGCACAAACCAATCACAGAAGATCTGACATGATATTTAGGTTGGGCATTGAGAAAATTAATGCATCTTAATTTCTTTGATGTTTGTAGTAATAGATGGCATGTGAAGTGAGGAACTAATGCTCATCTTGTACAGGTGTTCATTTTTAATTCAAACAAATTAAAAGAGGGGTGACCGTTATATGAATACTGTCTTCACTGCATGTTTTCCGGGCTCGGCAGACATTGGATGTCTGCCGGTTGGTTGTCACAATTACCAAGCTAATGAGCTAAAATATCTTCATTAATTTTTTCATTATTGGCTTAATGAGCCATGTTGCACTTGCGGTATTGACGGCAATCCTTGCGTTCACACGAATGGAAATATTTCAGTTGTTAGTGAAACAGTCAATTTACCATATAGTAATTGTGTGCATACACAATTCACCAAGTGAAGGCCTCAACCTCCATATTTAAACCAAAATATATTTTTAAAAAAAGATTTAAAAACATATTTGTGTATTAGTTGTGCCCCCCTTGCTTCCGAGGCGCGCCAACCACTACCGCAGCGTACTGCGCGCTCCACCTTTTCACTCCACCATCCTTTTTACCCCGCCATGTGTGCGTCTCTGCTTGCTCTTTTTGTTGTTCTTTGAAGTGCAGATAAGAAAAATTATAACATAAAAGCTTTAGAAATCTATTCTTTTCATGGTTTCCGTATCATCCACAATCGCCTTCCACCCATACGATAGTAGCTGCAGGGAAATTGGACAATCGGATTGACGAATGTTGCCGCTAGGCTTCATGAATGCTTCCTTCTGCTAAGTTGGTTTGTGCGGGCCCAACTACCCGAAAGCTGTGGGCAAGTACTTTTGAATTGTCACTAATGCCTTGAAGTGTGGCAGATGTGCAACGGATTGTGAATACGGTGTCCACAAGATCTGTGTACAGTGCTGGACAACGCTTGAGGTCCAAGACGGGCTCACGGGTACGCTGCAGCCGCTCTATGCAGGCATTGAAATGGACGCTGCAGCCGCTCTATGCAGGCATTGAAATGGACATCGAGATGAAATTCTACAATATGAATGGCGAATGCAAACTTCAGAAAGGCACTTACTGGACGGCTCAAAAGAGCAACTCTGGCCACTGTTGACACTGGTCAAACTCGAGCGCCGAAAATACCCCTGGTTACAATGATCAAGACCAAAATAAAGGCGCTCGAGACCACTGCTTGCAATAGCAATTACATAAATTTTGTTTGTGCACATCAAGACCTATTTTGTTTTCATCCATGTATCTAAAGAATTAGCCCCGAAATTTAAAAAAAAAAAACTTCAGCTATTCTACTCTGGTGAAGAAGGAAGAGCAGCGGAGCTGTAGCTTCTGTTCTAGGTGATGGCTTTCCAGGCGAGCGATCTGCTCTTCCTTCGCAAGGGAATTTGAAGCACTGAACACAGTGGAACTTTAGGCGATACTAGCGGCCTAGCGGCGGTTGCAGAACCATTCACGCTGCTGCGCGCATCGCCACTCGTTCCACTCCCGCTCTCCTTCCTCCGAAGAAATGTTGTCGCGATCTATGAGCAACGGCGGCAAGCAGATAACAGTCAAACACAACACTCTGGACAGCTACCGCCATTTATGAGCGACGGCGGCTACCAGAGTGTTGTGCCGGCCACGGGTGTCGACATTTGTTTGGTACCAGACACGATCGTGGGAAAACTAGCCCTTAACAGCTCCGCTGTAAAAAAAGTGTGGCCCCTACAAGCATTTATATTTTGGGAATAATTAAAAGGTAGAAGAACCCTTGACCTAATATAAGGCGTGTTTATTTTGACTTTGAGAAAATCTCACTCCTAAGATAAGAAAATTATGTATATAGTACACTGCAATAAAACTTCTGCGTTTTTCTCTTTCATGAAGGCTGACAGGTTGTGTCATTCACCTAAACCAAATTCATCTAGTGATGCTAAGGATCGAACACCGAAGCCCCTTTCGCCCCGAGAGGGGCTCGGCATACTCACACTCGGTTTTGTTTGTAGGCTGCGCTGTGGACACAGGAAACACATTCCAGATTCCATGAGACTGCAACCAGCCCTACTATATACATGCACCCAATGCCTGAAAGCAAAAGCAGTACCTCTCAGTTTTTGCATGTATAGAAAGAAACAACAGCTTGGTTCTCATCACACAGAAATAATACTGCCCGTGAAACAATAGAAGAACTGCAAAAATAAGGTGAAAGACTATAAAAGCCTAAATAGAAAATTCACAACAAATGAAAAAAAGGAGGCATCAAACAGAAAGCAATGCCACGAACACAGCTATTGGCAGTAGCATGTACTGATATCCTCAACCGCACATTGACATTTTTAAGTTATCACAGTTCGGTACACTATATTGCCATGGACAAATCATGAGCAAGACCGACTAAGTCTTTGGCCAAACCCAGCAACTGTATTTTCAATAATCTTACAGGCCGCATGGCAGTTATCTTGCAGGAAGGAAGTGAAAAGAAACATCTCCGTGAACCAAGTCGGAGCACAGATTCCACAAACAAAAAGGGTAACGCATTTTCAAGCCACAATACACCACTTTTTTTTATGTATTGTTTTTGCAACATATGTATTTGTGTTTACATGTTAATAATCTTCTTCAAGCTCAGTTTAATTTTTTATATTGCATTTCAAGGTCGAGTCATCCACACAATTCCCCACTTCGACAGGCCCACATGTCTGACATCTCATGTATTAAAAGTCCAAAGTGAAATACAATTATTATTACTATTATTATTATTAATTAAATTTCACAATCTTGCCTGCAGCTGTAAACAGACCCCCCCTCCCCCCAAACAAGAGTGTCAGATTAGAAGGCTTCAACTGGGATTCCAATCAAAATAAAATAACTTGCACATATATAATTTTGGGAACACCCTGATATCCACTGTGTACTATTACTAATATAACTTGAAGTTGGTAGCTTAGCGTACCTTTGGAGCAAATAGAAGGGGACAATGAAGTAGAAGCATATGAGCTCGGGCTTGTGACGCTTGGGCCATGAGCTTCGCTCATGAGATTACGATAAAAGCAAGTAAATATTTTTATATCTTGCCGGTCAGCCTCTCAGTTATTCTGTCCCCACAGTAGGATTCAGTAATTTGCAGCAATTATATTCAGAAATACATAAAACGAAAGGAGCCACAAAGCTATGCAACTGTACGGTAATGTCTGTGACACGGCAGGTCAACTGGCTGACAGCTAAGTGTCAGAACTGGCACTGTCTAGGCACCTTTGGAAAGCTGAAGAAATGCAATTTACTTTTCTTCTACAGAAAATTTAAAAATAATGTTGGACAGTGTCAGATGCACAGACAAATAAATGGAAAAAACTACCCTACAAGGATGAATGTTACCTTTTACCTGCTGATTCCCAGAGCATGATTGTTTGAAAGAAGTGCATGCTAACTGCAAAATGAGGTTCCTTTAGAAGGCCTTGTGAATGACAGAATTTTCTTCGGTGCTTACATCATCTTCATGTAGCCTCATCATAAAAACAATCTTTGCACAACCAAAGCAACAGTCCCCTGCAGTATGTCATTGTGGGGATAACTTCAAAACATATATAAGCATCTTGCAAAACTAAGCCAGAGTATTGGTCAATGTCATTTTCAGTAACAAAACTATACTATGAAAACATGTAGGTAATCAGCAGCTGATACTAACCATCATACATGGTCGAAACCTAGAGTGCAAACATGATTTAAATGTTCTGTAAGACTGCAAATAAAACTGCAGACTCATTTTCCTTATTTTGTATTGTTTGCTCATCTCCCTTAATGTCAGCTGGTTGCAAATTAAAAAAAAAAAAAAAAGAATTAAAAATGGTTACTCATGTTCAAGAATACTCACCAACATACATGAGAAATTGAATGAAGTACTTCTGGTTCTGCTCTCCGACACAGTTGTTGATCCTGAAACAGGAAATGCCAAGTTGCATAGAGGTTATCACCACTCTCAGTAGCTCATAATCAATTTTAATCAAAGAATCATTTAAAAAAAAAAAAAAACTTCAACCCACTCTAATAAGTCATATCATATACCCGTACAGTTAATGGTGAATGGCAATCCATTCGCACCAACAATACCGTATTATTCGTGAGTGAACTCTTGATGGACAGATTTTTCTGGCCAAGATAGTTTTTTTCAAAACATGCAATATGCTAGGTATGAACAAATTATGTTGTTTTATTTACCACATGCCTACTAATAAAGAATGTCTCCTATGTTTCATTTGCAGTAATACAAACTTCCCTAGGTTCATGACAAATAGTACACAAAACTACAGACAAAGAAATTACCGCAAGTGACCTCAAAGCTCCTATGTTATTGAACTATACAGAATTGTCCTCTTCAGTGCTAAAAAAGTACACCAATAACTGATTAATCCCTTAAAAATACATTTTAAAAAATGTTGATTATCTGCAGGCAACAGACCACAATTTCGTAAGGTTTACATGATGAAATGTGCAGACTACAATTTTCAAACTGCTGCAGCTGAAATTTTATTTTCCTTCTCATTGCAAAATTGCAATCCAGAATACCTCTGTATCCAGGTGAAAATTCCCATGTGAAAACATCAATGGTCCCATATGCAGATTGTGTGTGGTCAAGACGCCTCTTGAATCCTGATTCAGAGACTTCCCTCCAAAAAAACGTCTGAGATCCTCAATACCAAGATTCACTCGAGGTAGCAGTGGCTTTTCAATCTGACAAGTGTCCCAACAACAGATATAATGTTGACTATCAATGGTCCGATTATTTCAATTGTGACTAACCAAGGACAGTGGTGATCCATCCTACGAACGCACCGTTGACATATTCTGCAGTGATGTGCTCGGGGCGGTCTGTATGTTTCACATCTCGAGCAGATGGTCCAATCGCCCTGGTATAGAACAGCAATCCAATTTAAGAAGGATACATGCATGTTGTGATATTAACTCGTGCTTAAAGCAGTTCATAGCTGATCAAATATAGTCTGGATGATATTTCGTGGTGATGAATGACTTAATAAAAAAATATACCAGGTCTTAAGGCGCTGTAAAGCAATTTCTTCAACAACACAAGAGAGCAAAATTATTTGCTGCTTTGTCATCTACAAAAGATGTTATCACAGATGACTGGAAGGGAAGCCCTTCAGCTGAGTACAATGGTGAAGTGACCTGTATCCCAGCCACATGCTCCCAGTAAAGACAGAAGTTGACGCACGTACTTGGCGTCATCACGTAACGTTGATAGTTTATGTTTAGTTACACAACAATTAAAAGCACTACGTATTCAAATTCAGGGGCAAATAATGAAAGAAGTCCATGTCTAACTCAGTTTTTCTGAGAAGTGTTTGAGCTTCTCCCTAGGTTCAATGAAGGATTGTACTACAAAAGATGTATTCTGTCCGACTAAGTTAGCACAAGCATGACACCGACTTTTTGAAACTAAATCACGTGCGCAGACAAGCTGGTGGTAATACTGACAGGCAACCCAGGAGCAGCGGGGGAAAAATGAGACAGACAACACAAAGCTTTGAAACTTGGCATTGTCCGTCCTTTTTTTTCCCCCTCCAGGATTGCCATGTCAGATGATATTGACACTTTTTGCATTTAAAAAAATTGTCCTACTTTGTACGTTTATACAATTTTGATGTTGGTACGCCTCAACGGGTGACCCGTCTCTTAGCTGTAGATGAGAAATTTAGCCAGTGCGGTACAACTGCTAACCTGGGGTTTTTAACATGCATCACTCAGCAGTGATTACCCAAACGCGTGCCGGTACAAAACTCATTTAGATCGAAGGGGGGGGGGAGCGGTGGGGATCAAACCCAGGAGGTTCCCAGCGCAAGCTTTCGATCCATGCTCCAAGCTGGGACGCGCTATCCCACTAGGCCACCGATTCCTCTCTTTTTAACATTTTATTCAGACATGGTATATATATGCACCAAATTTCACTACTAATGTTTGTGCACCAAATGAGCACTTTCTGCTACGCTGCTATGCTCATTGTCACCTTAAAAAGAAATTCAACCTAGAAAAAACAAATTTTTCTTTTTACCTTGTTAGGAGAAGCATGTCTCAAAATAAATGTTTGTTGAAAAAAAAAAAAGAAAAAAAAAGATTGCCCCATGGTATTTATGTTACAATACAAATTTTCCTATTTGTGGGCGAAACCGAAAGTGTACCCCTGTGGGATCATGATGATACTGTTTGTACCCAACTAGTGTGCACTCTGAGTTCACTTGACCTCAGAGTTGCTTCAGAGCACACACTAGTTGTGTAAAAAGCTGTCATCATCATTCCACAAGGATACAGTTTCGGTTTCGCCCACAAATTGAAAAATTCATATTGTAGCATAAATATTAGTAAAAAAAGTTGGTTTCTTTTTTTTTTTTTTATGAACATTAATTTTGAGACATGCCTGTACTAACCAGGTAGGGAGAGAAAAAATTTCCTAGCATCGGTGTCTTTCTAAAGAAAATTCACATTTTGTGCATAGTTCATATGCTGCAGATATTCTTACATGACTTCATTAGATAGTTCTTACATGACTTCATTGTCAGAGGAAAGGTAAACTTTTTTTATTTGAAACATGCAAATATTGATAAAATAACAAATGGCTAATCATTAAAGGGGCCCTGCAATCATATTTAAGCGTCTACCTTTTTTGCAGTTTCTGCGTCCCTCGGGGTTCGGGCAAGCCAGCGGGTATGGAGACTAACTAAATATCAGCGCGTCATATTTTAACCGGACGACGCGGAAACCTCCTCCACCTACGGGGGGCGACCCGCGGTGCCGAAAGCGCGCGATATGCGATGTCTCGTCTTGGGCTTTTTTTACTGGATATAGTCGAAATACTGGATATAGTCGAAATACAAAATATAAGTGGCGCGAACCGTTTCAATTATTTAAAAAAGTAGTGTTTGTCCACTATTTCAGATCAGAAAAGAAACAAATGCACTTTAGAAAGTACGGAAACAAGAAATGACTTGTCGACATACCCGCCACCAAGCAGTGGAAAAGGCGGCGCATACTAGAAAGGTGTAGTGGGATCAGGCACCAACGACCGGCAAGCATAGAAAGGTCCCGGATGTATGCGGTGGCGCTGCGGTCATATAGACTGGAGGATCCGACCTGTTCCGAGCGTTCCCAAGGCCTTCGGCGAGCAGCTTTGGCCTGCGGTTGCCTTTTGGCGGTTTGGCAGCGCGAAGTGGCTCCCGTTCTGAACCGAACTTTACCCTGTGTTTGCTGTCGTTTGTGGCCAATAAAGTGTCATGCCAAATTAGTGTTTAATCGCGCAGCAAATGCAATGCGAGCCGCCCTGGCTGCTTGCTTCATACAGCCTAGCCAGAACATGCTTTAGTGGCGCCCTCTCGAACCATCAACACGGAGTGCGGCAACCGTGACTGCGCGCTGAGCTCACTACCCCCCCCCCCCCCCCCCCTCCAGTTCACGGCCACTCAAGCAACCAAGGACATCATGAAGGAGGTTATATTTTGCTTGTCTTTAAAATTTTTATTTGCCTATAACTTTTAAAATAAAGCGAAATTCGAGAAAATAAAAGTTTTATTAAGTTACTATGTTCAGTGCGCTCAGGTTCCGTGCAAATTAAAAACCAGTAAAAAAGTCCTTGCAGGGCCCCTTTATATGTGCATACAAGTATGCTAATTTACCACATAAAGGGGGAAAACAATACACTCTGCAAGGACCCTAACTCTTCTTACTTTGGTTCTTGAAGTGAAAACAAGTATAGCAATTTTGAGGAGAGTCTAATTCAAAAAGTATAAGGGGAAAAAGTGGTGATCGCTTGCTTATGCCAACTGTATTGCCTTATGTACCAAGCACTTTTTCACTGATCAGAACCCTTGGAAACCTAAGTTCTCAGGGACTGATTGTAAAAAAAAAAATATTTAACTTGACTGTATTTTTTTTTTCTATGTCTAATTTACTTATCTGAAAATGCAGAACTCTAGGAAAAGGTGATTCATGCCATGCTCTACCCATAGCAAAATATGCACCATGTATCATCTCGGCTAGTCAAGCTAGTAAATCGGTTATTTTTTATCGCCTCATTCTGTAGCTTTGTTAGAGGACACAGTAATATTCACATTCAGATACAAAGAAAGCAAGAATAAGATCCTGGCATTGTAAGTAATTGCTAGCCCAGAACTTTTCACACAGTCTCCACTAATAGGAAGACCCACACAGAGTGTATGGCCAAGATGGAGGTGGGGGGGGGGGGGGGGGGGCAGCATTGTTTGCGCTTTCAGTGATTCCATGTCGCTCCAGGGAAGGGAAGGCACCTAGTCAGTGTGCGCCAATGCAGTTCGGTTGTGTTATAACATTTCACTCCTTTCTGAGCAATATAACTCTCCACAATTGGTACCATGCCTTCACAAGCCATCATCTTGGCCACATACTCCGAGTAGGTCTTCCATACTGGTGGACACAACCTTCAGCCAAACAAACAAAATCAGGCATCCAAAATGTGAAGCAGGCCAATGACAACCTAACATGCCTTTGACCCTTTAAAACCAAAATCTGCTGACATGTGGCACAGAAAGTATGCAATTGAAGTGTGTGGAACCATGAATAGTGTGAAACAACTATACTCATTCTCAACTTAAATAAAAAGGAAGTTTTTCACATTGATCATATGCCCCGCGAATTTGTGTTCTTAAAAAATTTGGCTGTCGGAAGAAGCGATGCCTATGACGTTTGAAAGGAGTATGTCTTGATAACATATATCTAAACTAAAATTCATTTACATATATCTTAATTCTCTATTTGCGACTCCAGCAAAACAGACACCACCAAGCGGGAAAACCGGGAACCGGCCACGACAGGTCGCTTTGCGCCTCTCCACGTCTCTGACGGCTTTCGCGGACATGTGTTGTCAGCGCAGTGGCGAACAATGTAATTAGACAAAGGTCCAAATATTTCTTAAGTATGCCTGAGTGCTCATTAGTGTGGTGAAGCCTCAGTAGATTGTTTCCTTCCATCACGTGTTTGAAAACCCGTCTACTCCACAACACACGGTCGCATGCTTTCGATTTCTTGGATAGAGATTAATCATGAAAAACGTTTTGATTTCTTGTCTGTCTCGAATCACATTCAAAGTGACAACTACTTGGTAACTGATAAGTGGTTTCTTTACAAGGATGTAGAACAGTGGACTGAGGACGACAGACGAGGTGTTTCCCTGGAGAGAACGCCAATGTTGCAGTCAAGTGAATGGGAAGGTTCGATAGCTGCTTTTCTTGAGTTTGGTTGTGTTCGATCAGCTTCAAGATTGAGACACCCACGCCGACTACTCATCTTGGCTGCTATTCGTTTAAAAAGCCTCTGGACCACTCCGAATAAATTGGGCTGATTTCGCAATTACTTGATTCCGGAAGGCCTGCTTCGCTGCATACAATTGATGAGGGAAATTGTCCGCTTTCAAAAGGTGGGGGACGCGTCTTGCCAGTTAGAAGCTGTCACAACTTTATGATCAATTGCGCCTCCAATATTTATATTATACCCCTGTCGAAGCCAGCAGCAATAAACGTCTACATCGCTCAGGTTGTCCGGCCACAAAAAAATACTTAATTTCTCTGTTCAAGACTCAAAGTCAAGTTCAATGCAGAAAGGTTCTGCATGAATCTCGGATGAAGACTCTCTTCAGCTTGTCTGCATTCGTCTCCTTGCTGCCGGCGAGAACAATTTGGCTGAGTTTAAGTAGTATATCTCTGTCTGTCAAATATACTTTTATTCAGCAGTTCATTTAATAGCTAATCAACTAAGCTAATATTTCCACCCGAAGAATATACTAGTATCGCTTTAGTGGAACATAGTATGTAATATAATACATAACCCGGATATTCGTCACAATTACTTCTCGATTGCTACTAAAACCTGTATTGAAATACGAGTATCAGCTGCTTAGTGGGGCACCAGCAGGTTAACATGCTCCTTGGCTCAAGAAGCGGTTGCTTAATTTTCGTAATTTTCCCGCAGCCTGTGGTATTGACCGAGCAGACGACTGGAGCTGTTTCTTAAACGTGGATACGCACAAAAGCTTGATTTCGCGGACAGATAAGTCACATGGGTGAGGCATGCGAGTTAGCTGATAATTACTCTCGGTGGTACAATTGTGTAGTCATCGCCGCTTTCTTTAGCCGATCAAAACTGAATAGAGTCTATTACCGTCTCTCCGAAGCACATAGTTTCGGTTTTGAACGAAATCTCCAAAACAAGAGTTTGACATGAAAAGAACAAAAAGCACGGGGAAAAGAAAACTATGCTCTGCAAGTTTATGTGCACCAGCTATACTTAACCATCGCAGTTCAAAGACCTATAAATAGGGCATTAAACTAAAGAAAAACTGCTAAATTGAATGCGCCACCCGTTCAGGCGGCCCAACCGAGCCGACGCGACCTGTTCCCAGCCGCCATATTTGTTTGGTAGCGGCGCCCCCTATTGGGGAGGGGGACAGACCGTGACGCCCCAAGCAATTAACTATAGAACTGCATGGATGGGTACAACAAATACGATGACTCAGCACTTGGCCGACATAACCGAACGAGGCATCAGCGTTCGGCTGGTGTTTGTGTTCTCCAGTAAGGGGGAAGAGGGGCTCTCTTGTTACCACTCCGGCCTGCATGAACAATGCAGCATGCACGGTGCCCAGCTCAGCACAAAAGCCGAATTGGGTCAAGCTCGCATTCTCTGACGACTGCTTTCGGGATAGATCCGGCGCTTAACATCCCTTCATTGATTGCTAGTATTCTTTTAACTTACACTGGTGCCCCACGCTCTATTGCAGAAGATGACATGGACATGCCCATAAGGCCTGTGGGCATGTGCGCAGGCCTTGTGTTGAGTAAACACCAAGGTGTGGTAAAACAAACTGGTTAGAGCGCCCCCTATAGTTCGATCTCCTGCCCAATAGGTGCTGGAGTCGCAAATATAAAGTGGGAAATTAGTAATGTTCCACAAGGAACAGGACAATTGTTTTTTACTATGGTTCTTGAGGTGAAAACAAGTATAGTGTAGAAGCATTTCATGAATGCCACGACAACACAGAAAAATTAACATACTGCCTGTTTCAGCTGTAAACCAAGTTTAACAAAAGAGACAGCACCTTGTCTTCTGTTGACTTGCTCGACCGGAGTGCATCAGAAAAATCTAAGTTGGTCTCAGGTAAAGGTACTGTTCCAGGGTCGGAAAATACTGCCCTTGTATGTGCCATCAGTGTCAGGAACACAATGACATTGAAGCAGACGACATTGAATGCCCCCCAGAGGCTGAAACAGAAGAGAAGTCTGTAATTTCTGCCACTTCAGTTATCATAGCCAGATGAGAAACACACCAATAATGAAGTCACATCAGAGTTGTCTGACTCTAGGCACTATGATACTGCAGTAGGGAAGCCCATACCCCACAAAAATAGAAAGGAAGTAATGTTTTGATGATAATGCAATTAATGCAAAGGTGCAAGCGAGCTGGACAAGAATGACGAAAATAATCCCCGGAGAAGGGGAACAAGGGGGAAAAAGGACAAACAAAATTGGAGATTTGTGCAATTGGAAATTTGTGTTTATCCTTTCTCCCCTTTCTCGAAGGATTATTTTCGTCGAGTAATGTTTTTTCGGCATTTTCTTTTTTTCTTCAGTCAAAACTCGACCAGAATGAGCACGTTCGCAGATACTAAGGTGAGCTTTACTAAAGGTCCGCTGCAAGGCCAGTAAGCTTTCCTCCATGTCATCCGGCTCCCCAATGAGCCCACAGCCCTTCAATCAAAGCAACCATGCAGGCGTACGAAAGGATCGTTTGTTTCGCAACCAGTTAAGTTCTAGCTTTATCAATGAGCACTACGGGAAATGATATGTTCAAAACTGACGCAAAATGAGTACCACAGATCCATGACAGGAATGACAGGCCGTTATGACGTATCAGCTGAGCGACAAGCTATAGGTGACATTCACTTGACGTCACTCGCTAGGTTCGCTGGCATCGCCCACCACGGTCGCCATCTTCGAGGTCTCTTGCTATCGCGAATGCCATCTGGCCGGACCTTTTGAGCGTGGTTTAGCAGTATTTTACAACTTTAAAGGGTCTTTTTGATCGAAACTAGGGGTTATTCTTATACTTTGGTGCTTTTGAAGCGCCGTGGGAGTATTTTTTGTGTGTTTTAGTTCGTTTTTGTCGCTATCGGACTCGTTTACCGCGGCCGCGTTGCCGCTCGACTCCATGAAGCGCTCCGTGTCGCCCGCCGTGCCGAAGGCGGCAGCTCTTGCAAGAACTAATTTTTCTACTTTGGTGCTTTTGTAGCACGGTGTGATTAATCTGTGTTTTGTTTTGCTAGTTTCTTTATTGTTTTTCTCTAGCGGATTTTCTGTACTACGGCCGTGTAACCGTGTTGCTCCATCGCCGCTGTGTCGGACATACGTCGTGCCTTCGGTGTTACGTTCCTGTGCAGAAACATACATTGCGGCTCACAGAGTGCGCAGCTTATGAAAAATGCGGCGCATTTTTCATTAGTCCAAGCGATTTAAAAACCGCATGTAAGCGATTTGGCGAGCGGGAAGACAAGCGACGACGACCCGCTTCGCTGTCGCTCGTCTCGTCCCGTCGCTCGCCAAATTGCTTACATGCGGTTCAGCCTTTACACACGGTACTCGGCGGCAACAAGGAAAACGGCCCGCCCCCGAGACCAACTTTTCTTCTCTCTTCTGTTCAACGAAGCTTCAACGATATGAAATTAGCACACACTAGCATCGGACGACCGCGTAGCGTACCCAAGCCAGTCAAACCGAGACCTCGAAGATGGCGGATCGACGGTGGCGCTTCCTGGCAAAATCGAACCTGCAGGCTCAGTGAATACCACCTATACAGCACTATGCAGGTTCGGCGCCCGTGAACATGTGGCGAGTATCATGAAACCAGAAAAGATCTACAAACCTGCTGGACATGGTGGGGATAACCATCCACTCGACCACGGCGTAGTCGGCATAGATGATGGACCCGTACGTAGAGCAGAGGCAAAGTAAGCCACAGAAGTCGTACCGCCACGCTACCATCGTTATAACGGCAACATTTCAGGACCTCCCGGCGTTTGTCGGAGCATACAAGTCATGTCTCAGTGCGCACAACAGAAACAACAAAGCTTGTTTACATAGCTAGTCTAGCGTCATGATAATAGTAGTTTACGGTCACACGGTCACACCGAGAAGCCATAAGAAAGAAAAGACACTGCCGACCCAACCGATCTGCCCAATTTCTGTTTTTCTTTTTCTTTTTATTTTTATGTTTGCGGGGCCATCTGGTGTCGGAAAAACCATTTACAAACTCTTGGTTTAAATAGCTACCACCATATGACGCCACCGCCACTACCAGGTAATAGGGAAGCCTCCCTACCAGGTAAACGAAGCAAACGCCCGATTCTAAATTGTATGTTTTTTGTTTTTTTTTAATTATTCGTATTATTTATTTGTTTATTTATTTATTTAATATTTATATCACTTATGAATTCATTTATCCAATCTAGCAGCAGTCAACTGTTTTGTTGGAGATGCTTTTATTTGAGGCATTTAATAACTCGAATGCTTGAGTTTTACGTTTTATGTACGTTTTATGTGAAAATCTTACTTTGTTTTATTTTGCTTGTAGTAATGCGGCACTGCAGGCCTCGGGTATGGGCCAATGAAATTTCTGTGGAGTCGCAGCCCTTTAGGCTGAATTAAGATTATTGTTATTATAATACTCCCTTTCACCTTACGATGTACCGCGATGGACGCTACGAGCTCCATGAGCCGATCCGTAGATCGTGATTTCGCGCTCCCCCGTCGTTCCGTCCAACCGGAGGCACACGTGACACTTTCCAAGCTATGAATTGGCTAATATGGCTCGTAAGGGTCCTTTGCGCTCCATTGTAAGGTAAAGGTGACCACCCGTCCCGCGACTCGCGGGACTGTCCCGCATTCAGGGCTCGTGTCCCGCGTCCCGCGAGAAATTCCCAAATCTTCAAAATGTCCCGCATTTCACACTGTCGTAAAATTCACTCCGCAACTCATGGTGCTGCCGAACAACGGGGCACGGGAAAGCGCGGAGGTCGCATGGTAATACTGTGAATCGCAATGATACGCCATTTTCTATCCAAGCATTGCGGGAAGCAACCTTCGCTCTTGCAGGAGGTTAGACGGGCATGCGCCGTTGTGCCTCTCCCTTTTGTGGCAAAATATCGTAAGAAAAATTGCTCGCCAAAAGCTTAAATATAAAATATTGTTTGACATTAAAACAAATATATCAGTGGGAGTGGAAATTATTTGAGCTTGACTGCCGCAATACAGTTATAAGGTGTATAAACAATGCAGGATAATAAATGTGTTAACAGAGCCAAGGTTCGTTGTGTGCGTGTTAAAATATTTCCCCTACTACCCCCCCCCCCCCCCCCCCCCCCCAATTGCCCCGCGTGTCCCGCATTTCGCGAGGAGGAAGGTCGTCATCCTATTGTAAGGTGATACGAAGTATAGCACGACTGCACATAGTTGGGTATGAGTCTTTTCTTTCAGATCCAGCTTTCTGTGTCGATAAAGTCAACGGTACGGGAGCCCGTGCTTGAACGCCGATCAAAGCTGGACCGCTGCGAAGGCTGCCCTGCCGGCTAGCAGACGCTCACGCGCACGGGCCCCCGCCTATTTGCCTAGCCTTGTGAGCCACATACCGAAGGAGATTGAGCGTGAAGTGTGGCATCTGGTAGCACCAGCGTGCGCAACTGAGCGTTTGCTCATTGATTAGGAACACTACAGGGAAGCTGCAATCTGGGAAAAGACGCATTTTTGACTGAGGGGAAGCCAACTTTAGTAATAGAACCTTATGAGCACCAATGTTCATAATAGACCTAATAGCACCAGTGTGTACAATTGCACTTTTGCTCTATGGCGTTCTTGAAAACACTGCAGAAAGGCTGAAATCCCGGGATAATGGTAGTTTTTTTTTTAATGCAGGTGAAGCTGGCTTTAGAGAAATCTAAAACAATCTCACTTTGCACCAAAATTATGCAGGTTAAGAGGACCTTCCGAAGATTTACTGTAGGAGACCAGCCTAATCTAAAACAAGATATAGAGGAATGTGATCTAAATTGTTGGAGAAAAACAATGGCTTGAAAAACTTGGTAACTAACTTGGTGTTCACACTCAATGGGTATCTGAGAGGCTGTTTTAAATGATTACGGTGTTTGTGGAGAATAACTTAGAGGACAAAACGTGTCGTCCGGTTTCTGTCCTTTATGTTATTCTCCACAAACACCGTAACTTAACCAGCGCGCTCCATTTCCACGAGCGACAGTTTTAAATGCTCCGGAGTTTCTTGAATCTTTCAGTTCAATCTAGAAGCCCGTGTTTGTGTGTGTGTGTGTGTGTGGGGGGGGGGGGGGGGGGCAATTTCAAGGGCTGTGTTAGGATATGTATATCCAGTACTCAGATATGCTGAGTGTAGAGCAACCTTGAACCTAAAGCAATGAACCCCCTCTAAACGGACATTTCTCTTTTTCGAGTAACGAGTGCCGTCTGGGGGCGTTTTCTGCAAACCACAAATGAAAAACAGCACGATATGCTTCCGCCCGTCAGGACACATTGGCGTGAGGCCGTTGCAACAATTTGCACTTGTTTTTGTGCCCGATATTACCGATGTTTAAAAAAGGTATCGTCAAAAATGGCGAGATACGGTTAACGATAAAACATTGAGTGTGTAGTCGAGTTGGTGATAGTTATATTTGTAATGTAACACCTGTGACTCTGGTGCGGAATAATTAAGAGACTTCCAAGTCGAAGGAAAAGACAACAGTAGCAGACCGTCTCAAACTCAGCTCTATTACGATTATTACGATGATTAACATGTTTATGGCTAAGTCATCGACTTCTGATGCCGACTTACTGTGGACTGGTTTTAGAAATATGCTCTCAAAGCTTGTTGATAAACCCATTCCTTATAAACACGTAAAGGACCAGCCGAAACCCGAGAAGCTCTGAATGAATTATATAGTAAAAACAAAATAGTTAAACAACGCTAACGTTTAAATACGAAGCATATAAAAAAAAAAAAAAAACTTTCTGAAAACCTTGAAAGGCGTCTTAAAGAGCTCGATTTAGTTTATAAGAGTACCATAAGTACGGTCAAGGAATACTATATTTCCGGTTTGGCAAAGGATATTAGCACCAACTCCAAAGCATTCTGGAGACTCAATTCCGAAGATTTCGGGATAATGAGTGATTCCGCATTAAACAGCCCTAGTAAAAGACACTGCGTCATTTACTTCGCGAAGAATGGGAAATATATTTTTAAATCTAATTTTAAACCCAAGCAGAAATCAAAACTGAAACTTGGGCTCCGTCCTGCAACATTAGCCTTGGGCCGCCAAGAGCTGGTCACACGTCAGCTGACAAAGAGGACGTGTTTTCCAGAGATCCTGCGAAGCTAAGTGAGTTTTGGTATATTTAGTTTAGTTACGTATGTGTTTATGGGGTAGTAGAAAGCGGTTTTTAAAGTAGCGGTAGGATAGTTCGGTAAAGTATACTTTTTAGGTAGGGCCACGTGCACGTTTGAGCTTTTGGTGGGCTAGTTGGTTGTGTGGGCAGAAGTCTACCCAGGCTTTCTTGGTTTGAGTTTTGGGGGATATTTGTCGGGGGGTCACGCTGTGTGTTTTTTTTTTTTTTTTTTGAAACATTTCTTTATTTCCATCAACGATGGGGGAAAACCAAAGGAAAAAAGCTGCTATTTGCAGCTTGACCGGCCCTTTGGTACCCCTACAAGGCAAGCAACACTAACACAGAAAAAAAAAAAAACAATAGAAGGTATGTTTTAAGTATTATACAATGCAAGAGATATCATTTCTGCCCACTGACATAACATCAATTCCTAATGATGCGATATGATTTAGTAGCTCGGGAAGTGCATGTTTAATTCTTTGACGTCCAAAGTTAGTTCGTGATTGTGGTATATGCCATGGATGTATCTGACGTGTTTGACGAATGGAATCGTGCAAATGAAGGTCCGCAATAGCGAGAAAAGTATCATATTTACCTTTCATGGCAGACTGGAATGTTAATATTAATCGTTGTGGATACATTTTTGAAACGTCAAGTATGGAGTACTTCTCAAACAGTGGCAAGGATGGAGAGGTTGAAGAGACATTAGCTATGGCTCGTAGAGCTTTTTTTTGCAATATTCGAAGCAAGTTTAAGTTCGTTGTGCCGGTAGACCCCCACACTAGGTGCGCGTAGCATAAGATGGGATAGAATAGTGATTTAAAAAGTTGAATTTTGACACTTGTGGGTAAAATGTTTCTATATTTATTTAACACACCCACTATTCTAGAAAGTTTAGTGCGAACGTGTCTAATATGGTCGTTCCAAGACATGTTATAAGAAAAAAATACACCAAGAGTTTTTACATTTTCAACATATTGAATAATATCAGTGCCATATTTCAGAAGAGAGGATGAGGTTGCTTGAGTTCTGGAATGTAGTTGGAATATTATAGCCTTGCTCTTGCTAGCATTTATATGAAGGGAATTGTTTATGCACCAGGTTTTTAATTTTGAAAGGACATTATTTGTTTTGCTGATAAGACGTTCACTATTTGAATCAGAAATGATCATACTTGTATCATCTGCATAAATAATAAAATCTACATCAGAGTCAATAGCAACTATATCGTTTATATAAAATAGAAATAAAAGGGGACCTAGAATGCTTCCTTGGGGAACACCGCAATTAATGTTAAGCAAAGAGGACCTATGCTCGTTTATGGAAACATATTGGCAACGGTTCTCAAAATATGACCTTAACAATGAAAATGAAACTCCCCGAAAGCCATACGAAAATAGCTTGTCTAAAAGTATACCATGGTTGATGCAATCAAACGCTTTACTAAAGTCAAGGAAAACGCCAATCGTTGTTAACTTTTTTTCTAAAGTATCTAAAATAATTTCTTTTTGGTGCAAAAGGGCAGACTCGGTAGACCTAAATTTTCTAAACCCAAACTGAGATTCTATTAATACATTATGATGATCTGAGAAATTTGTGATCCTTGAGTGCATAAGCTTTTCTAAGGCTTTTGAAAAAATAGGAAGAATGGATATTGGACGATAGTTCCCCATACTATTTCTATCTCCTGCCTTAAACAGTACTGTTACTTTTGCTGTTTTCATGCCTGTGGGAAACACACCCGACGAAAGAGCAAGGTTATAAATATGCGTTAAACAAGGCACAATGAGGTCGACAACAAATTTCACGGGTTTAATGTTTATACTATCAGCATCGCAACTGTGATTGTTGCGTAAATTATTTATCGTCGAAAAAACTTCATATTCATC